ACACCTTTCTTAATTTTAAACCATTCAGTGTTCCCATGTTCTGTTCAAACAACTGTCTCTTGGTCCAGGTACAGATTCCTCATGAGCACAATATATATATATATATATTGTTGTTATGTACTGCCAAGTCAGTTCTGACTTATAGCAACTCTGTAAAGGGATTCTGAAATTTGAATTCCCACCCTGTGGTTCACAGTCCAGTGCTGATCCTACAGCGCCATGCCATATATATATATATAAATCCAGGAATGAGAGTAGCATTTACAAGATGGAACCATCTATCATTCAGTAAAGAACTAAATGTTGAACACCTTGCTTATTGCAGACACCACACAGGTTCTGAGGATAAAACTACAGGTATGGTAATCAGTGATCAGTGGCCTCAGAGTCTCTAATTCAATGGTGAAGAGACAAGGAGTGTGTGCAGGGGACTTGGGGACAGAAGGAATAGTAACTAATTCAGCTGAGCAGGGTCAGAGATCTTGGGCAGCTCTTCACTCATGAAAAACCCCACATGCTGAAACCCAGCTAAAACAATTTTGGTAAAGCAGGAAGATCCATCACCATTTTCTTCTCTTCAGTTCTTGGAGTCAGACGTTTACATTTTTGTCTTCATAGTAAGGGGACACTAAAAGTTGGGTCCTCACACTGTCTCCACAGTTACAGTCAGTGGTTCCACAAAGCTGGCGGTTTGAGTGCTTATCTGACAGCTTTACATTTAATCCACTATTTGTTCCTGAGCTTTCTGGAATCTGCAAAGATTTCCAGCTTTGGAAACCCTATACGGGGTCACTATGAGTCAGAACTGACTTGACGGTCTTTAACAACAACAGGCAGAAGTCAGAATGGTCCTGGCCCCCACGTTATGGAGCACTGTCTGGCTCACACACAGTATATTCCAGGTTGAGGTAACACTCACAGCTACTACCTGTGTACCTGTGGCAACACTTCACAGAACATCGATTTCCAGCTAATGTTTAACCTAGCCCTGCTCTCCAAATCAAAATAAAGTTTAATTTAAATGCTCCCTGAAACAACTTACGAGTGTTTAGAGGAGAAAAAAAAAAGGCTTTATTCAAAGGAAAACAATGTATAGTAAACAGCAACTGGTTTCTTTACAAAACCACAACTAAGTCCTGGTGTGGTTCTGTGGGCAAATGCGCCAGACTGCAAAGCCGTCTGAACTGCAAGGTTGGTGGTTCAAGCTCACCAGCTGCTCCTTGGAAACCGTACACAGGGTCACTATGGGTTGAAATCGACTCGATGGCACTTAACAACAACAAGAAGCAAACTTTAGGAAAATCCATCAAAGCTGGGAAAGCAGGAAGAGAGGCTCCTACGAGAATGAAGTTAAGCCTGTGGAGTGGCCTGCATGAGTTCACACCAGACACACTGCAGGAATTAACCCTTCATACACCATGTTTCCACCTTCACCATCATACAACATACCTGTGCACAACTTAAACTTCCTCCTCCTGTCCAGAAAGCAGGGAAATTCAGGGGGAATCTAAAGGATACTCCCAACTCCATCCCTTGCAGAAGAGTCAAAGGAGTGGCTGGCAAGATCCCATTCTTCATTAGTCCAGGAGAGAGAGAATCAACAAAGTCCACACATGTGGTCTAAGACCATATAAGGTGAGAATACTATCAGGGTGATCTTTTACAGATATGGAGGAGGAAACCCAACAAACTGCTTACCTGTTGGCCTTCATCAAGAGGTTGGGCGGCAGTTCAAGGAGCTGGTTGTGCTGTACATCCAACACTTCCACCGAGGTTCTTTCTAGGCGTTCAGGGAGCCGCGTGAGCTGGTTATGGCCTGCCAGTAGTTTCCGGAGACTACTGTTACAGAACAGTCTGGAACAAATGGAAGAGACAGAAGGCAACTGAATTGAGAGAGAATTTAGAAGAACAATTAAAAAATGACAAACAGCAGGAAAATATCCAAAATGATCTCTCCAAAACATTATAAAATTCCTAGTAACTTTTAGCTCATTTTAATAGAAAAGCTCAAATATTGGAGTTGTTTTTAATACCTTCTGCACTTTAAAAAAAAAAGTGCAGTGGGAGGAAATGTGCAGGAGGCACTGAGCAAAGGGGCGCCTTAGTGAGAGAAGAAAAGCAACCCAACATGGGCTGTCAGTCCCCCATGGGCAGCTTTCAAAGGCACCAGACTTCTCTCCAAGGTTGGCTTTGTGTCTCACATCAACCCTACAATGACTGGTTGTGTGAGATTTGGCATCTTTACCTACAGGATCAACATAGAAAAGAATGCTTCTGCCCAGTGAAACAAAACAGAGCAGGCCAACAAATGAATGTAAGAAGACTACATTTCACAGCCGTCATTAGTTCTCTCAGCTCCCTAAGTCTGTGTATTTTTGTTTTCTCTTCGGCTTAATCCTGAACCAAAGTAGAGACTCCCTTCTGAAGACACTGTTGTTGCCGTGTGTCTTCAAGGCAGCTTCAGTTCACAGTAATCCTGTAAAGGGTTTATGAGAACAGCCAGCCTCGTGGCAGCAGGTACACTACTTATTCCACAGCACAACACCAGGGCTCTCCTGAAGAGACTGTTGTTGTTAAGCGCCACTGAGTCAGTTCCAACTCACAGCCACATTGAATAGGGTTTCCAAGGAGCAGATGGGAGATTTAAGACGCAGACCTTGCAGTTAGCAGTCTAGTGCTTATCGTACCTTGCCACACCAAGGCTTCCCTGAATAGACTGTTGTTGTTAACTGAGGCCGAGTCACTTCTGACTCATAGTGACCCTAAGTATGGTTTCCAAGGCGCAGCTGGTGAGACTGAATTTGAACAGCTAACCTTGCGGTTAGTAGTTGAGTGCTTATCTGACAGCTTTACACTTAATCCACTATTTGCTGCTGAGCTTAAAAGACTGGCAGCCTGGTTGTACTTTTTCTATTGGTTACCAGAACAGTAACAAATGATGAACAATTGCTAATCTCATGCAGATCTGCATTTTGACTACTTCAGACTTCCCTATAGTCACAATGGGAAATAAAATCGACCCTGGGCTTCAGTGCAGAAATCTGGGGACTACAGAATAGTGACACTGAGATTCCCACCAAGATCACTCTGCACTGACAACCATTCAAACTGTTGCTTAAGAACAGAATGCCCCATCCTCACTCTGTTCTTCACCATTCCAACCCTATTCTATAACATCCAAAACTGTTCAAAAATTATTATATACTACAGACATAACTATACACAATTTAAACAATGCTGTCTATTCTTGTAGAGATGAAACCAACCTGACCTAACAATGTGACATCCAGGCTACCCCTGTTGTTGGTGGCATCAAGTTGGTACCAATTCTTAGCAACCTTATGTACAACAGAAACACTACCCAGCTCTGTGCCAATCTCACAAATGTTGCTATGCTTGAGGCCACTGCTACTGCCATTATGCCAATACATCTTGATGGGAGTCTTCCTCTTTTTCCCTGACCCTCCACTTTACCAAGCATGATGCCTTCTACAGGGACTGGTCCCTCCTGATCGTATATCCAAAGTATGAGAGATGAAGTTTGGCCATCCTGGCTTCTAAAAAGCCTCTGGCTGTACTTCTTCCAACACAGATTTGTTTGTTCTTCTGGCACCCCATGCTGGTTTTAATACTCCCTTTCAACACTTTAAGTCCAATGCATCACTTTTTCGATGGTCTTCCTTATTCATTGCCCAGCTTTCACATGCATATGAGGCTCCTGACAGTACCATGGTTTGGGTCAGGTACACCTTAGTTCTCAGACTGACATCTTTGCTCTTGAACATTTTAAGGCGGTCTTGTGCAGCAGATATGCCTAATGCAGTATGTTGTTTGATTTCTTGAGTGCTATTTACATGGGTGTTGATGGTTGATCCAAGCAAAATGAAGTATTTGACTTCAATCTTTTCTCTATTTATCTTGATGTTATTTACTGGTCCAGTTGTGAGGATTTTTGTTTTCTTTACATTGAAGTGCAACCCGTAACTAAAGCTGTGGCTTTTCATCTTCATCAGTAACTATTTTAAGTCCTCTTTGCTTAGAGTAAGCAAGGCTGTATCATCTGCATATCGCAGGTTGTTAAGGAGTCTTCTTCCAATCCTGATACCAGGTCATTCATGGAATTCAGCTTCTTGGATTATTTGTTCCATATATAGACTGATAAGTATGGTGGAAGAATACAACCCTAGCACATACTTTTGATGATTTTAAACCATTCAGTTTCCCCTTATTCTGTTCTAATGACTACCTCTTGGTTTACGTATTGCTGTTATGTGTCGTGGAGTCGGTTCCGACTCATGGCGACCCTGTACAGGGTTTCCGAGGCTATAAATCTCTATGGGAGCAGAAAGCCTCATCTTTCTCCCATGGAACAGGGGGTAGTTTCAAACTGCTGACCTTGCAGTTTTCAGCCCGATTCGTAACCACTACACTACTACATGTTCTTAATTAGCACAATTAAGTGTTCTGGAATACTTTCTTCGTGATGCTGTCCATAGCTTGTCATGATCCACATAGTCAAAAGCCTTTACGTACTCAGTAAAGCACAGATGACCATCTTTCTGCTATTCTCTGCTTTCAGTCAAGATCCATTTGACATCGGCAACGATACACCTCATTCTATGTCCCTATCTGAATTTGGCTTGAACCTCTGGCAGCTCCTGTCAATGTACTGCAACCGTCGCTTTTGAATTACATTTAGCAAAAATTTACCTTCAAGCGATATTAATTATATCATCCAATGATTTCTGCATTCCATTGGGTCATCTCTCTTTGAATGGGGCACAAATATGGATCTCTTCTAGTCAGTTGGCCACAAGGTCTTCCAATTTCTTGCCAAAGATGAGTGCCTCACTTTGTTGAAAGATTTCAATTTGTATTCCATCAAATCTAGGAACCTTGCTCTTTGCCAATGCCTTCAATGTACCTTGGACTGCTTCTTTCAGTATCATTGGCTCTTAATCATATGCTACCTTTTGAAATGATTGAACACTGACCATTTCTTTTTGGTACAGTAACTCTGTATATTCCTTCTACCTTCTTTTGATGCTTTAAAATTCTGCCCATTGAATCCTTCAATATTTCAAGTAGAGGTTTGAATTTTTTCTTCAGTTACCTCAGCTTTAGAAATACTACACATGGTCTTCCCTTTTGGTTTTCTAATACCAGGTCTTTGCACATTTCATTATAATATTTGACTTTGTGTTCTTGAGCTGCCTTTTGAAATTTTCTGTTCAGCTTTTATCTCATTTCTTCTGATTGCTTAATCATCTCCACGCTGGAGAGCATGTTTCCGAGTTTCTTCTGACATCCATCCATTTTGGTCTTTCCCGTCTCTTTTGTCTTCTTAACGACCTTTAGCTTTCTTCCTGCATGATGTTCTTGATGCCATCCCACCAATCTTCTGGTCTTTGATCACTAATGTCTAATGCATCAAGTCTGTTCTTGAGATGATCTCTAAATTCAAGTCCATCTCTTCCTCTTCCTATTCTGTCTTTGTCTGTAAGTGCAACTGAAATCCACCCTCCATGGGCAATCCTGCTGGTATTTAAAATACTGGTGGCATAGTTTCTAGAATCACCTCAACACAGAAGCCACCACAGTACAACACAGTGACAGGTTGAGTGGAGAAGGCCACTATTAAGCATGTTTAAAATGCCTACCTTGGCAGGTGATTTTTCATCTAGTGCTGCTATAACAAAATACCACAAGTAGTTGGTTTTAACAAGCAGGAATTTATTTTCAGTTTAGGAAGATGAATGTCCGAATTCAGGGTGCTAGCTCTAGGAGAAAGCTTCCTGTGGTTTAGTCAGTTATGTAACATATCTCTTCTAGCCTTTGTCTTTGTAACGCCCACCACACCTTTCCTGCTGGGTCTGGGTAAGAGTAAGTAGGTGGGCGGTACTGAAGGGATAATACCAAACAGCTGTGGAAGTCAGCAGAGTTCACTGTACAACTTCAAACTCCAGCGTGTGTATAAAATAAACCATCATCTTAGAAACAGAATGGAGGAATTTCACAACCGCCAAAGAGCCATGAGCAGAATGTGTTCTTTGGACCCTGAAGCCCCTTGTACATTGAACCTTCGGAACTGAAAGCTGGGACACCAGACGTGTAGCATCAGAACCAAGAACTATGGCACTTGACAGAGCAGTGGGCTTCCCAGTCCACAGAGCAAGTAAGGCTAAGTGACTTTGGGCAGGAAGCTTGCTTGCAGAGTAGGGAACCTCCAGGCACTTAAATGGGGTTGGGGGATAGGTTCGCTGACCCACGGAGTGAGAGTCAAGTGTCTTCACGCTGGGGCTTATGGTGCACTGGTGTCTTTGGATTTTGATCAGCAGCCTCTCTACAAGAGCTCTGTACCACTGTCTGGGCAGACAGAGGCAAGTCTGTCAGCACCCCAAGGGCAGGCTATCCTGACAGGTATCTCTGATCCTGCCCTGGTAACCTCCCTAATAAACCCAGGAACTCTGTGTATGCTGTCATAGTTCTTTGGGGCCACCGCAATCAATTACTGAACCAGAAGAGCAGAGCATGCTTTGGAAGGAATGTCTGGTGACACTTTTCTTCCACTTTCTCTCTGGCCACCCTGGAGAAATGTCCTAGTCTCTTCGGACCTTCTATTCCTAGGTGAACTTCATATGGCCTGGCCTCTCTCTTTCCTGTCTCCCTGAATCAGGAATTTTTTTTTGCCAGCTTGCATTTTTTTCTCTTCAATATATCAGAAGAGATTGACTCAAGATACACTAGTCCTGCTTCATTAACATAATGAAACACTCCATTCCCAACTGGGATTATAACCAGAGACATGTTGTTATTGTTGTTAGGGGCCCTGGAGGAACCAACTCACAGCGATC